TTCTTCTTCTTCTTCTTCTTCTTCTTCTTCTTCTTCTTCTTCTTCTTCTTCTTCTTCTTCTTCTTCTTCTTCTTCTTCTTCTTCTTCTTCTTCCTCTCCTTCTCCTTCTCCTTCCCTTCTCCTTCTCCTTTCTTCTTCTTCGACAGCTGCAGAAGAAGCCAGCTGCACAGGCCAGTCTTCCTGTGAGGGGCTGTGGCTGGAGTCTCCCAGGCTGGATCTCAGCTGCCAACAGGACATGCCTACGATCGCATGGCTGGCTGATGGCCTGGCAGTCTGACCTGCAGGCTGCGGTGGCAGATAGCAGCCAGAGGGAAGGCAGGAGGCCTGTTCTTTTGAGCCCTCTCTAGAGGCCTGACCACTGACTCCTTTTCACTCCTGGCCTCAAAATTTAGACCTCATAAAAGACTCATATTATCTTAGCTGTGGAGAACTGGACAGACTTAGACTTCTTTCTTACTCCTCTTGGGATAATTTTCACTGCTTTGATCATTCTCATGGAGCTGCATTTTCTTATAATTCCAAGCAAAAATGGTTGTGTGTGTGTGTATGTGTGTGTGTGTCCTGCATCTACACAGAGCCTCACCTATTAGCAGAAGTTGAGTCAATGTTTGTCACATGAATGAAGAAAATGAATGAAGAAAGTGCACCTGCCATCCTCCAGCCATTACCAATCAAACAGATAGTAGTTAGTACCAGCTTAGGTAGTTTCGATGTCAACCTTTTATCAGCTTAATTTCTTTGGTAGTTAATTTAACCAGTTGACACGTCTTTGGTAGGTCTCTTGACACACTGAGAAAACATTCATCTAGGCACAGCCAATCCCAGCACTGTACCATGTCCCAAATAGCAAGCTTTCTGGAAGAGGCCGGCCTGAACTTCATTCTATGAGAATGAATGCACTTGGCTGGGCAAGGCTGGAAGGAAAATAAAACAGCTTTTGGTGGCCAGGGAAAGGAGCCTGGACTTGCTCTATGTGGGCAGATGTCCTGCCTAGCCCCAAATAGCTCTTTTACACAGGTGTGAAGAACAACCCACCTGGAAACTGTATAAGGACCAGGAAATCATTTGGCCTATGACAGGACAGACATGTACGTTTCTGGACAGAGGCCCATGCGATCTGCTTGTACTGATAATTTTGTATGGCCCATAAATGATGTTATAAATATCTTAATGACCCTTTGCACAAAAAAATGGTTTCCTTGCTCCTCCTAGAGAGTCAGTTTAATGGACAATAAACAAGAGTGGCTGGATTCAGGACCATGGGGAGTTTATCGACTTCCCCCATGGAAGCAATGATTAGATTGGACTTGGAATGCAATTCTTTCCAGCAATTTATGAAAAGGTATTGACTCAAATGCATAATTGTTTCAAGTAATTGGAGTGCTTTGAATTCATCCAGCTAGGAGCTTAGCTTGTAATGAGGGTTGGTAAATCATAATCTTTGCAAAGACCCAGGCCTGGGCAATGCTCCCTCTGGACCAAGGCTGTCTGGCAGACCCAAAAATCTGCAGGATATACTTCCTTGCAGGGCAAGGGTGTTTCTTTCTTCTGGTGCAAATGTGTGAAGAGCACACGCACACACACATGCACACATGAGAGCACATGTGCTGATCCTGGGGCTTGAACTCAGAGCCTGAGTACCATCCCTAAGATTTTCTGGTCAAGGCTAGCACTCTACCACTTGAGTCATAGTTCCACTTCTGACTTTTTGTAAGTTTATTGGAGGTGAGAATCACATGGACTTTCCTGCCTGGGCTGGCTTTGAACCACAATCCTCAGATCTCAGCCTCCTGAGTAGTTAAAATTACAAGTGTCAGCCACTGGTGCCCAGCCATAGGACCTTTTAATATTTGCCTTAAATGGGATTTTTTTTCTTCCTGCAAACAAGACAATGCTTCTGTCCATGTTATAGTCCAATGGTTTCACAAACATTATGAGCACATTGTCCAGCAAGCACTTCCTGACTACCTGAGCTATTTATGCTTAAAATATCTGTTTGTAACCTAGCTGAGCTACCCCATGATACCTTGTTATTGATGGAAGGGGACTGAAGAGACCCTGAGGAGTTAAAGGACCTCTTGTTCTAGATCAGTAATTCTCCAACCCACTGGTTTCTGAACCTGTTTTATATTTCTAAAAATTAAAACCCCTGAAATCTTTGGCTTAAATGGGTTCCATTTATCAATGGTTGCCAAATTAGAAAGTAAAACTAAGGAAATCTTAAGTTTAATGCAATGGTAATATACTCAATATGTGTCACATTTTTGTGAAAGATAATAGTTCCTATAACAAGTAATGTGCAGGGAGGCATTATTCACAGTCTTGCAGATTCTTTGATGTCTGGCTTAGTAGAAGACAGCTGGATGCTCATCTCCACTTCCACTGATATGCCACTGCCATGTCACATACCACCTTGTTCCTAGAGCATTTTACTACAGGAGAGACTGAGAGTAAAAACAAGGCACAAAAGTTAGCTAATTAGGAGGCCGAGCCCTGAGAATTGCTGTTTGAAGCCAAGCAAAATCAGAGGGACTCATATCCAATTAACCAGCCAAAAGCCAGAAATGGATTTGTGGCTCAAGGGGTAGAGCATGAGCCTTGAGTAGAAAAAGTCAAGCAAGAGCACAAGATCCTGTCAAGACCTCACGATTGTTTCTAACACATTTGTAAGATGATGTCTTTGTTGCTTTGTATGTCCCTCCCCCATGGTATAACCCCTGCTTTCACTGTATTTGATGTTAGCATAATTTGTGGAGGGGAAAGGAAAAAACAAATCGTTTAAATAGGGATACAGGTGGACCCATTGCAACAATGAGATGTACAAGTCGTTATGTCAAAAAACAAACTTTACAACTTTGGTCGGGGGCGGGGGGGGGGGGGGATTGGGTAGGGGGGTTGGGGGATGGGAAGGGATGAGAAGGGGAAACAAAGGAGGAGGCAACAATGCTTGATAAGAAATGTACTCATTAATGTAATTGTAACCCCTCTATATGGTATTTTCACAATAAAAAAAAAAGGAAAAAAAACCCCACTACAGGCACACAAAAAAAGGCAAATGTCTTAGTATTGTTATGAAAATAGTTTTTCTATGTCTTTGAGCATCTGCGATCTTGGCTGTAAAACTCATTTGGGATACCTCTCTTCCCTCCATGTCTGCAAATATCACCTGGTTCTGGATACGTCATCTCTTTTCTAGCTTCCTGCCACCACCGCAATTGGCTTTAAATCTCCAAAATAGGTTCGGAACTAAAGTTGCTTTGAAAACATGCAACTGAGCATGCTACCCATTGGTTTAAAACTTTTCAGTTGGTCCCGCTTTATTTGGGCTGAGTAGTAAGGTCTAAGTTCAGTTCCTGCTGGGTAACTCCCAACACTGTCCTCTGTCTATTGGCTCCTAAGTAGGCTCTTATGCCTGCAGCTCCCTCGCTACCCAAGGCCCTGGCTCAGGCTTACTCCCTAACCTGAATATTCTTGCTCTTCCCACCTTTTCACCTATCTACCCTGTAGTCTCAGATCAGCCATCATTACCTCCAAGAAGTTTTCCTAAGCTACTCTTACTAGGTCAGCTCCTCCTCACAGAGGGATTTACAAGAATTTTGACAGTTAAAAAATTTAGAATTGTTCATGTGATTATTTGATCAATATCTAATTATGCATGGTGTAACAAATTGCCTCCCCCAAGAAAAATCCATTAGCAGCTTAAAATAGCAAGTAGTTTCTTAATTCACAGTTTGTTTGGCTAGAAATTTGTGAGCAGCTTAGCTGAGTGATTCTGTTCAGAATGTCAACCAGGGCTGTAGTTATTCTAAGACTTGACTGAGGCTAGAGATCTACTTCCAAGATGGCTCTGTGGGCCTTTCCTTCGGGCTGCTTGAGCTTCCTCACAACATGGCAGCTGCTTTACCCCAGAGAACAAGAGTTCCAAAAGGAAAAGGAAAAGGCTATGATGTCTCTAATAACCTCATTTCAGACATTCTGCTGATCATTCTGTAGTATTCTATTGACAACCCAGCTCATGGCTCTTCAATGTAGAAGGAGGCTATGTAAGTACATGAGTACAGAGAGGCAGGGACCACATGGAGGGGCCACATGGAGATGGTTGAGAACTCAACTGTGCTTTCTCACTGTCATATCTGCATGCCTCACTCAGCATACAGCATATTATGAATCTTCAGATATTAATAATTTTTGTGTGTTTATGTGTGTGTCATTCCTGGGGCTTGAACTCAGGACTTGGGTGCTGTCCTTGAGATTTTGTACTCAAGGCTAGCATTCTACTACTTGAACCATGGCTTCACTTCCAGCTTTTTTGGTAGTTAGTTAGAGATAAGAGTCTCACAGACTTAGGCCTGGGCTGACTTCAAATCATGATCCTAAGATCTCAGCCTTCTAAGTAGCTAGGATTACAGGCTCAGACACTAATTTTTGAATGAAAGAAATGAGTTTGGTAGGGTTATCCAGTTCAAACAGCAATATTTCAAGGGTAATTCAGTCTCAGCCTTTTCTTTACCTTTCAAGGTTCCAAAGCCAGGATATCAGAATCCTAGTCAGAGGGTTAAGAAAACACTATGAGCCCCATGATCCAGCTACAGCCTGCCTACGCCTCAGGCATGCATCCTGTCTCAGAGTATGTACCCCACATCCTGGAGATACCACAGGCAGTTGTTCATTTCTCAGACACTTGAATCAGAGGAGGGGCAATCAAGAGACTAGCAAGGCACTGGTTTCACTTCATTTCATGTTAGCTGCCATCCAACAAGGGTGGCAAGCTGCACAGGCAACTCTGTTAGGTGCCTCTTTTTTTAGCAACTTTGCCAGATCCCCAAGCTCCATCCAAGGAGCCAGGGAAGCAGCTGACCCTCAGCCAGCAGTCAGGATGTCTTCCTGATGCATCTGCCCCTGGAAACACAGTTCTTCAATAATGCATGGAGCTATTAGCACCAGGCAGAGGATAGCTGGCTCTCTCTCCTAGTGATCAAAGCAGCCACCCCCAGGAGCCGAGTTGGTGATCAGATTTCATGGGCTCCTTAGAATGTCTGCCCCTCGGTATGAGATTAGAATGGCTGTTTTATGTCCAAGGATGAAAGCAGCGAGGATTTGGGAGTAAATCCGGCTTCCCAAAGAAATCAAAACGTTTCTATTTCATGACAAATGGATGCATGACACAGCTAATCGGTCCTGGGAGAGGAAACACAGCAGGACCAGCTGTCTACATTGACGGCTCCTCTCCGTGCTGTGGGAAACGTGTAGGACACAGGAGCAGGGAAGCCATGTAATTTCCTTATGTCCAGGGCATCTCCTGGACCATAAAGGCCTGTCATCAATCCTTGGGAGATTCACCTCCACCCCGCAGCATTAGCAAAGCTGGGCATGATCCCCTTGGAGCTGAAGAGGTGATTGAGTCTAGGATCACTGAGGGGGAGGCTGCAGCTCCTCCTTAGAGTGCCTGATCATCTGTCCAGCACTTCTGCACACAGTCCTGCTAATCCTTGTAGCAACTGACAATGTATTATTAGATTGTGCTATGATGGCTGGGGGTGGTGCTTCATGCCAGTAATCTGAGCATTTAGGAGGTAAAGGTACAAGGATTAAGAGTTTGTGGGCTAGCCTGAGCTGAGAGAGACACAGACAGACAGACAGAGAAAGAAGGAGGAGGGAGAGAAAAAGAAGGAGGAGGAGGAGGACGACGAGGAGGAGGAGGAAGAAGAGTAGGTGGGGGAGAGGAGTGGGGAGGAGGAGGAGACGAGTGGAGACAAGAGGAGAGGACGTCAAAGATGATGAGAGAGGAGGAGAATGAAGAGGATGAGGAGGAAGAAGAGGAAGGGGAGGAGGAAAAGAAAGAAGAGGCAAAGAAAGAAAGCTCTCCAGTTATGACATGTGGGCACCCAGAGCTGCTTTCGGAGCTATGTTCTAAGACCAGCTGCTTCCTTAAGTCCCTCCACAGCCAGGGGGAGCATCCCTGGAGAAACTGGCCTTTCCCATTACTTAAGAAATGCGGGGAACTGGGCCAACACACCAACGTGGGAATGGCCTAGTCCATGTCCGCGGTGGCCCACAGTCAGCCCCAGCCTTCCTCCCAGATGTCTTTCATTGTCTTCTCTAGAGAGTCTTCTCCTTTAGCCCAGGAACAGTCTAGAAGGAATCACTGATATCTTCTGGCTGCTGGCTCAGTACCCCTCATAGGTCCAATCTAGTCTTGCTTCTATTACCTGTAGAACGGAGGTGATGATTCTCCTTCATGGGTAGACAGCCCCAGAGCTCAGTTGATGCAGATAAATGCGACTCTCCTGGCTTGCAGACAAGGCAGGTGCCCGCTGAAGCCCCCCCACAGTGCTCTTCCTTCCTCTGCAGTCACCCTTCTATCACACACCCTTCTATCCCTCAAAAGGTGGCCTGGGCCTGATGGGTGCCTGTGCCAGGACCTGCTCAGGTATTATAGCGTGAGATATGCTGGGGACTAATGCAGACCTGGGACTGGGGTCTGGCCACACATCTCAGGAAACCAGGAGACTGGCAAAGCTGGGCTGGTGAGGAGAAGGGAGATCGGCCATTGGGCTCTGTCTAGGTCACCTGTAAACATATGTTTGCAAATCACAGACCTGTGCTACTGCACACAGCTTCCCCGTGAGTCCACTGTCAAGGACAGATCGCATCTGCTGCCGAAGCCATCACCAGCCTCTCCACCTCCACAGCCCCTGAACTCTCAGCTCTTCCTCCTCCAATACTCAAGGAAAAACATCAGCCCCCAGAGTGGCAGTCTGACCTGTCCCGGACACCTACCAAATCGCTTTCCCCATGATGCAGCAGTCCTTGTTTGCACTCCACTGGGACCCTGCCACACATGCCTGTGGCTATTGCATCCCTGATTTGGTATCTTGAGTTCCCGGGGGCGGGGGCAGGAACCTTGCTAGTCTTTCAGTCCCCAGGGACCTCTCCCCTGAACACTGGTGAATGAACAGGTGATGCTGCTGATGCTCTGACCGGTACTGCGCCTTCCTCCAAAGCCAAAGACCAGGCATCCTAAGGGTTTAGGGATGCAGAGGAAGCCAGCACAGAGAACTCAAGGTCAAATGACTTAAGAGGAGGTGAGGGAAGGGCTAGGACATAGGGGTGCTTATGAAGCAGGGTTCTGCAAAAAATGGGGGACTCTGTGTCAGAAAGACCAGGAGTCGTGCTCTGTGCCCACCCCGTGGAATACCCCCAGCCTGGTGAAGGCCCAGCCTTACTTCTTCCTCAGGCTCAGTCTCCTGGGGACTGCCCCAATGAACGGGCTTGCCACTTGCCAGAGCCCCTTGTTTGCCTGAGGGCTGATGAACTCTCCACTCTCTGGGATTTCTAAGGTCAGGGAAATGACTGGACTTTCTAGGTCACTCTATTACTGAAACACACTGGGTTCTTTCTGCACAATCATAGCCAGCATCCCCCAGCCTGCAATCACAGTATGTTCCGGGCTCACTCTCTTCTCTAGCCTGGGAAAGTGGGGCTCAAAGAAGAGGCTGTACCCAGGGGAGCACAATGGGGGTGGAGCCCAGGCCGCATGTGATACTTGGCTTTCACAGACCCAACACAGTAGCAAGCAGGAGCAGGAGTGTCACCAGCTGCCTGGACTCCAGCCAGGAGCTGCCTGCACGAGGCTCATTTATCTATGGCCAGGATTCCCAAAGACGCATGCTCCAGCCCTGCTCCCTGCTTTATGCTGAACCCCATGCAAATGAGCTCACTCCATGCTGGTGGGAACTAAGGACACAGGAACCACAGAATGGACCATAAACTGAACTAGGGAGACCAGCTCCAGGGACTGCCTTAAAGTAAGGAAGGCCCTCAGGAGGGAGCAACAGTCGGGGCAGAACATGGTAGAGAGAGTCTGCAGAGATGGCGGTGGGGAGGCTGGGAAAAGGGATACCTGGAAGGAGGCTAGGTCAAGGGAAGGATAGAATGGAGTGTCTCCCTCTTCTAGGATGGTCGTAGCCTCTCCAAGGACTAAACAGTGACCAAGGGACTCCATCATGGACTCTGGGGGCTGAGAGGGAACAGAGCTGTGTGGAATAGACTCAGCCAATTGTTATACACAGCTGTGTCTCGCCCATACTAAGTATGGCTCACTGAGTCGCCTCTTTCTGGACCAACCCCTACCTCTCTCTGTCACTAAGAATATCGACCGCACAAACGCATATCCTCACCCCTTCTAGAGAGTGACATCATCAAATGTGCCCTTGGTCCTGTCACCTGGCATTCTTGGAAGCTCAGAATGTCCCTCCAGCTGAACACGGATCCCACCCTGAAGAATTACAGTCATCTGACCCCTTTGTCCTCCCCTCCCCCAGCCTAGAACAAAACAGAATCTAGAGTCTAAGATTATGTGGTTTGATCCCAAGTCCTGAGTCTTCAGTCAGCCTGAATGTCTTGGTCACAAGTGGGTGAATGGACTTAGCATGCAGTTGGCAGTGAGATTCAAGGAGACTCATCTAGGCATGGTAACAATAGGTGCTAACTAAATACTGAGTCTTGCTGTCATAACCAGATATCTGCTGACAACCTGCCCTGCAGAGATGTGGCCACAGTCACTCTTGGCAGGGAAAGCACACCTCAGGCATTGACTTCTCCATGCTCAAGGCCTGTGAATGGTGCTGGTAAAAGAAGATGGGGGTGGAGTCACCTATCTAGGAAAGGGAGGAGCTTAGGGTTAGAGAACTCCAAGAATCCTGACTACTTTATTCCATCTGATCTCTGGCCCACTGGACATGGCCACCTTCCCTATCTCCCAAGACACCTGCTGACTAGGCGAGGCTGGCCACTTATGGCAGGCTGGTTCTGTGGCTCAGGGCCCCTGAGCTTCTACTCTCACCCCAGCCAGGGACAGAGTCTCTTTCTTTCCCCTCTTGTCATCCCTAGACAGACAGATCTGCACCAGGTCCAGAGTGATGAGCAGTGTGTGGTGTGGTGCCATCAGCCAACTCACAGATCCCTCCTGCTTCCCTGAGAGACCTGGAGGTACTTGTAGGGCTGTTTCAGAGAAGTAGGACTTAGCCATCACTCTATTGTTCAAGGCCTGGCTAGGCCTAAGGCTGCTCTGGCAATTTTTTCTGACAGAGCCTCATAACCACCATAGCTTTTATCACTCCTTAACAAATTCTTCTTGGTGCCAGCCATTAGCCAAGCTCTGGGAAGCAAGAGAAAGGTACCTTGACAGACCTGTGGGAGGTGAGGGAGGTAAGTTGAAGACTCCAGCAAGACCAATCAGAACTGCCTTAAGATGGGCTGGAGGCGTGGCTGAGTTGGTAGAGTGCCAGCCAATGAGCAAAAGCATCAGGGGCCAAGTTCGAGTCGTGTTCTCAGACAGAAAGAAAAACCCAGGCACCAGTGGCTCATGTCTATAATCCTAACTACTCAGGAGGCTGAGATCTGAGGATCATAGTTTAAAATCAGCCCTAGCACAAAAGTCCATGAGACTTGTATCTCCAATTAACCACAAAAAGCTGGAAGTAGAGTTGTAATTCAAGTAGTAGAGTGTTAGCCTTGAGCACAAAAGAAAAGAACTGTGTAAGAGCTCCATGGAAGATGGAGTTTAAGATGAGCCTGGAGAAACTGGATGTGAATAGTGTAGAAATAACTAAAAATCAACTTCCATCAACAAAAAGGGACAAGCTGTACACAAAAGCAAAAGCCCCGAGAGAGGTAGACACATAGGGGCGGCACTGGGCAGAGGGCATGTGTGCAGGGACTGGGCAGTGGGCTTCTAGGAAGGATGGAGGCAGCTAGTAAAGACCGAGCATCCAAGGTCATCTCAGTAGGGAATGCTTGGAGCATAGCTGTCTCTGGGCAGAGCTCAGGGAAGAGCTGTCAGTCACTTGTCTTTAGTACATGGCCAGGCAAGCACAAGAGGCTCCTGACCTTGGCCTCTCAGGGTTCCAAAAGCAACCCAGAAAGGACACAACTGTAGAAATCAGAGACCCCGTGAGAAGAGCAGGTCATCAGAAAGCCAGCAAACAGCTCCCCGGCAGCTACTGCCAGCACTTGCCACCCCAGCCCCACCCACGCTGGGAGCCCTCACCTCTCCAGCTCAGACCAGTCTCCATAGCACTAGGGCCATATCTCTCCAGCCAGCTGAGAGCCAGGCCACCCAGCCTTTCCCCAGGGCAGAGCCAGAGACCCAGGTGCCAAGGCCATCCTCAGCTCCCTTTGGCAGACCAGCTGCCTCTTTGTCTTATATTTAAACAGAAGTTGCAAAAGAACACAGAGTTCTCCACTATCCTTCACCCACCTCCTGCTAATGCGAACATCTTACATAATCACGGCACATTTGTCAAAGCGAACAAATTAACATTGGAACAAAAGTATTAACTCAACTCCAGACTTGATTCTCATGTCAGCAGCTTTCCTCAATGGACATTATGTAGTCTGTTTTCTGGCCAGGCTTTATGGCACTGACTTGTGTGGCTTTGTCTCCTTCTGGCCTGGGACAGTTTCTCAGTCTTTCCTTGTTTCTCCTGACTTGACATACTTTCTTAATTTGTGTGTGTGTGTGTGTGTGTGTGTGTGTGTGTGTGGTTTTTTTTTAGTACAACACGCACTACATGTACAGCCTCAGATTTGTCGCTTTAACTATTTCTAAGCACGCAGATTGGTGGCATTAATCACACTCACAGATGTTGTACAGAATCATCACAAATAGAAAGTCTGTCTCTGTGAAGCAGTGATGCACCCTTCCTCCCAGGCTCTACTCCCAGGCCCCTGGGGAGGGGAGATCCCACCCCCGCTGCTACACAGGAGAAAGGCCTTGCTCCTAACCAGTCCCTCCAGTCCTCAATGCTATCCAGAGGCTGTGGGAGTTCCACCCATCCTCCATCCTTAGCCAAATGAGTGCTTACCAAGGTAGAGAGAAGTAGGAAGTCCCACACTTCCTGTTTCCCAAGAAATTATCCCACCTAGGGACCTTTTAACCAAAAGAGAAAAAAGAAAAAGTTACTTTCAATGGATCAGCCTACAGAAAACCCCTGCTGAGGCCCAAACCACCAGCAGAAAAAAGCTCTGCCGTTCTCTTCCTAAAGCTAATGCGGCTCTGGGGGCAGCTGTTCCGAGCGAAGCACCCCAAATTGAAGCTCCCTTTCTCACCAGTCTTGGCCCTGACTTCCATCATTGTGGCTATGGGAGAGTAGGGAGTGTCATAGCTGCTAGTATTAATATTATTAAAGAGTATTAATATTGCTATTTTGGTGTTAATACTGAGGCTTGAACTCAGGGCCTGGTACTGTCCCTTGGCACTTTTTTTTCCTCAAGGCAGATGCCAAACCACTTAAGCCACACTTTCATGTCCAGCTTTTTGCTGGTTAATTGTAGATAAGAGTCTCATGGACTTTTCTGCCCAGGCTAGTTTCAAGCCATGAATAACTAGGCTTATAGGCATGAGCTACCAGGGCCCGGTATAGCTATAGTTTTGACTCTCAGTTGGCCTCATCAGCAGGCTGGCCCCAACTACCCAGGGTGTGATGAACAGAAGATGGCTTTTATGCCAGGTGTGTATGCCAAGGGTAGTGTCATGCATGCCCCCTCTGCCATCTGCTGACATGCTCAGGGCATCAGCATGGCTGGCTTCTGCACTATGACAGCAACGTTCTGACCTCTGAGGCTGGTTCACCAGGCCTCACTGCCTCTTGCCAGACTTCCATCACCGGGCTCCAGCCACCTGTCCACACATTTGTGCACGCCAACTGGACACACTTGCTGCCCGCCACACCTGCTGCCAGGCCCTCAGGCCCTGGCTCCACCTGCGGCTAGCCTTCCTGTTTCCTGCTCCTCCCCCACTCTTCTGTACAGTTCTAGGTCAGGGCTCCACGGTCAGCTCGCTAACACTTCTGTGCCCCACTCTATCCAGCAGGTTTAAATGTCTCCTGGCGAACCAGTGCCTGCTCTTACTGATCCTTAGGGCAGAGGGAGTGCTTGCTACCTGATCAGTAAGTGGGTCTCCTCATGCCCCAGGGGCTCCTCCACCCTGGACATGAAATATTGTCTCTCTCCCCTGGGAATGGCACCAGGTGGCTAGTCCCTAGGGACCCTGTCAGCCCAAGTGGGGTCAGGCAAGCTCTCCCTGCTGCCCATTGAGACCTGCTGTAGTAAAATCTTGAATGGACAATGGGGACACAAAAAATAGGAACCCAGGCTGGCCAACTGATGCCATAGACAGAGAAAGCAAAGTGTACAGTGTACAGCTCCGTCTCGGTGGCAGCCTCTGAGACCCTGGGAATCTGTACTTTGGGGTCACAGCTAAGATCCCACTCCTGTCTCTCTAAACCTCAGTCTGACATAGATGACTGTTCACTGCACTAGCTTTGGAACCAACGTACCTTAGGAACCCAGGTCTGCTGGGTGCTAGTGACTGATGAGGTTAAGATCTGTGGATTGCTGGTTGAAGCCATTTCAGGCAGGAAAGTCTGAAAGTCTACAAGACTCTTATCTCCAATAACACACACACACACACGCACATGCACACGCACGCACACGTGCATGCATGCACACTCACATACAGAGCCAGAAGTGGAGCTGTGGCTCAAGTGGTACAGTGCCAACTTCGAACACAAAAGCTGAGGGCCAATACCAGGCTCTGAATTCAAGCCCTAGTACCAGCACAAAAGAAAAAGAAAGTAAAGAGAAGAATGAAAAGGAAACCCACATCTGCCACTTTTTTGCTGTGTGATCTAGAAAAAAAAAATCTTACCTTCTCTGACACTTTCTTCATTTGTAAAATAGAGATCATTAGATAGTCATGTTCATTAGGTAAGGATAAAGTGCACTTGATTTCTAGAAAGTTCTTCCACCTCTTCCTACTGTGAAAAGTCCACCCTGTCTATCGAAGGCCCGTTTCTCTCTGAACCCAGCTGAGTTCTCCCACAGCAGTGACCAACTCACACCAATTTGCCCAGGATGTTCCTAATGTTTACCTGAAAGTCTTGCGTCCTGGGCAGACCTCACTCTGGTTGGTCACCCCATTTCCCAGACCCCCCACTTACAAATCCCCACCGCGGAAGGCTTGATTATGCACACTCCTAGTGCAGCCTCTGCACACGCCACCATCACACACGCTGCTCTCTCCCTAACACCGTCAAAAGCCACAACAGTGTTGCAGTCCTGCTCTCTGTCCCCGCCTGGAGTCACACTCCCTCCTCCTCCCCCGAGGAACCCCTGGAAGCTGCAACACAGCTCCCATCGCACCCCACCCATGCTAACAGCCAGCCAGGGCCAACGTGGCTGCCACGGCGCCACACAAACACCTGGCAAATGCTGGGCCCCCTTACAACCCCTACAGCTGCCTTCCTGGCCATCTCTAGCCCTTGCTCGGACAGATGACCTCCTCAGGAGAGCTGTGCCCAACGGTAGCTCAGCTCCTCAGAGACTTCTGCCCCAGTGCTTACTCTACACCAAGGGCAAGAACGCTAGGCTGGGGCTGCCTGCCCCCAGCCACTCGGAGTCCATCACTACCTGCTCTTACTAAGAATACACACCCCCCCACACACACATATATGTATTTGTGTATATATTTCCCCCAAGAGCTTTCATATTTGTGTACTAATACATAGTATATACACATATATATTTGTGTGCAAATGTACATACACACACAAACATATATGCAGTGAAGCTGCTAGAAACCATTTCTGAAGGAGCCACTGCCATCAAACCGAAGTGAAGGATGGGCCAGTATGCTCCTAAATCAGCAGCTGAGCTGTGACAGGCAGATGGCATGGGTGTGAAGGGATGGCCCCAGAGACAGGGTCACAAAGCCGGAGGGAGCAGTCACAGCTCCCCAGCCCATCCTGGCAGGACAGGGAGGATAGACAGGCTGGCGCGGGGGGAGCGGGGTGGCCGTGAAGCTACCACACCTAGGGACAGGACAATAGCAGGCAGGGCAGGACAGATGGGTGACCACGAAGAAGCCCAGAGACCCTGCTTCCTCTCCTGGCCCGCCTCAGTGTCTGTAGGGCAGACAATGGAAGTTTCCGGTAGTAGTGGAGAACAGACAAGGCAGAGATGTCTCCTCTCCCTCTCTGGTGAAGCTGAATTGAGGAGGGCAGGCTGGGTTAAGGCAGACAGATGCTGGGGGCAGACAGATGGGAGCAGGGGTAGCAGCTACTGCTTTGTTTTGATTCTGTGCCCACCATTAAACATGAAATTCACTTGAGGGATTCAGCCAATAAACCTTCATTGGAGACCACTAGACCCCAGGGGTACAGCAGTGAATGGCAGGTTCTGAACCCCTCTGTGCTCTTATTTTTTTTTCCTCCCTACCTCTGTCACATGAGGCCTGTTTTTTATCTGCTCGTTTGTTCTTTATTTTTGGTGCCAGTACTGGGGTTTGAACTCAAGGCCTGAGCACAGTCCCTGAGCTTTTTTCTCTCAAAGCTGGTGCACCATCTATTGAGCCATGCCTTCATGTAGGGCTTCTTGGTAGTTAACTAAGAGTCTCACAGACTTTCCTGCCTGGACTGGCTTTGAACCTTGATCCTCAGACCTCAGTCTCCTGAGCAACTAGGCTTACAGGCGTGAGCCACCAGTATCCAGCTCAAGGCCCACGTCTTAGAAACAAAGAAACAGAATCACAGAGAGATAGGAGGACAGCATGGAGATGGATACCCCACTGTAAGAGATTTCCATGCAGTGCCAGATGGATATCTTTCCAAGGCATATCAATACTCTCCCGGTTCCCTGGATTCCCTCCTCAGAAATTCTGTGGCCACTGAGACTCATAGGCATCTGTTTCCTGCAGTTTCTGAGTGCTCTATATAGTTTTTTTTTTTTTTTTTGTCGGTCGTGGGGCTTGAACTCTGGGCCTGGGCGTTGTCCCTCAGCTCTTCAACTCAAGGCGAGCGCTCTACCACTTGAGCTACAGCGCCACTTCCCCTGCAGTTTCTGAAAGAAAGATGTGAGTTGCACAAGCCCGAGACACTGTGCACTAATATATACATGGCCACCACTTGGCCAGAGCTCAGAGTTCCCTCCTAGCTACTTGGTAAACTGCCTGCCCACCAGAAACCCTCTGCCCTTCACCTGACCCAGCCTGTGGGTTCTATACCCAGCACTCATGACCACGGTACAGCCAGCAATGTTACCTGGCCAGAGTTATCCCCTTGCTCCACAAAGA